TTTGTACGCCTTATAAATGGAATATTGAACAGCTGTCTTTCTTTACTTAGCTTATGAATATCAATAATTCATGAATCATTTAAGATGGATTACATGTACATAAGAGCGCAATCTGCCTATTGCAGGTCTTTATTGAGGGAGCTTCAAATGTTATTTAAAGGACAATATTGTTGTCAGCCATTATAACATTTGTGACAGAACTGGTTAAACACATTCCACTATAATTTAAAGTAGCTAAGTCTCTAACTCAATATCATCCAAAGTCTTACACGTTGAAAACACGAATTATTTGTCATTTCAAATCAACATTGATGTTGTGATCTTACCAGGAAAAGGTAGTCTTCTGATATCCAATTTTTAAAACAAAATAAACATTATACCATTGGTAAACGAATCGTGTACCATAGTGTGTTTCAGCGTCATTTGTAACAAGTGACCAGAAAGAACAAGGCTAGACATATTCCACAACTCCTGTCAAACGGTAACGCCATATCTTATCTGGAGAGTGTGCGCAATAGACTGGAATAACCAGACGCTAGAAATTGTAATTCGGCTGCTCAGACTCGTGCTGTATTTCTCTGGAGATAACTGATTTGAAATTAGAGTCAAAACGGAAACAATTGAATGTAAATCAGTATATATACAATCAGATTACATTATTATATGCGTTGCTACCCATTTGGGTCAATTTCTAGGTCCCAAATATTAGCGATTTAGCTCCTTTAAACACAGATATTAATGCTACAGTATAACAAACACTTGAAGAAACAGGAAGTTATCCTTGTACAAATGAATGAAGTAACGAGTGATAACAAACACCATGAATTTCATTTCACTGATAATTCCTTTGAAGGTGAAAAGTTGTTATATGATGGAGAGAGGATATCTGACAATTCCAAAAAAGAATTGGCTCTCACTAGATAAAAAGAAATGAAATGAAATGGGGTTTAACGTCCTACTGTTCTGCTCCTAACCTGGGCTAATGAAGACGGGCATACGCCATACCGTGTGCTATGAGGGACATTTTGCCCGGACAGCGGCACTATGGTCTACTTTTATATCAAATTCCAACTGCCAAGGGATCTTTTACGTGCATGCCAGTGTGTACACAGGACCTTGGTTTTTCGTCCCATCCGAACGACTAGACAGCTGTTCTTGTCAGGCCCTCTTTCCTACATCACTGACAAGGGGGAACTATACCGGAAAATCTGGATGAACTCTCTCGGCCAATGCAAGGATTAAACACCCGACCTCGAGACTGGCGAGCCAGCATCCTACCCGCTTAGCCCCTGTGATTCTGTCACTAGATAAAACAAAACGAACAAATTAGAAAAAGTCAGTGCATTAGCATGTTTTTACTAAGTACAGAATGAATAAAAGCCAGGGAATGCACTGGCCTTTTCTATTTATTTCATTTTCTCTTAACTAGTGACCGCCAATTCTATATTGTCTGTTAATTTATTATTTAGACAATTATTCACATGACAAGCCTTTAATTAACTCTCGCCATGATATTAATTGGATTAGAATATTAATAATTTTACAATAATATGGATAATCAAGACTTATTCTTGATTGTCAAGTACCATTGCTTGGATAATAAACAATCTACGCTTAAAGATATATTATGGGAGATTCAATAACGAGTTGGCAGTTCTCATTATAATAATTAAAAACTAGATAAGGTAAGGGCAATTTGCTGAAAATTTCATTCAAATTGATCCACTATGAACCAAGAACTAAGCAAATGAAATTTCTGCCTAGCCTCGTTCATCATTACTAAAGTCAGAACGATAAACAGCATAGTCTCGATTATCCATTTAATCGTTTAATCGAGAAGGAAAGTTATGCAGTAAATCGGCTCACAATCCACTTAAGATCGCAGGCTAGCGATGCCATCTAGAGTTGATTATGGTCTGGATAAGTTAATTAATGTCTAATTAATAATTTAGATAGCATTTCAGGCCTAAAGAAAGACCTGCAATAGACATATTTAGCTCTTGCATAATGTATGTTTAATCTTGTCAAGACTTCAAACACTTATAACTTTGTTCTGAATAAAGTAAATTGACTAAAATTATATTCATTATCTATTTTTGATCTATTATAGCAACATCGGTCTGACATAATACAGCTTTAATTTATTATTATTATTTATTATTCAACATTTATAAAGCACACAGAAATTATCCTCTTGTAATATTTATAAAGTGAAAATTGAAACCTCACGATTATAAATAATTAATGAATTATTGACTAATAATCTTTTTTTACTTGGACACATGGTCGTAAATATCTTTAGACCTGACAGAACTAACACATATGGGAAAACAATCACTGGTTTATTATACACAAGCACAACGTTTCGATAAGGCTTCTCTTATCATTATCAAGCACAATGACATTTAGTAAACTAGAGGGTCTATATATATAAATGTGAAGCCATATTTAATTAATTGTTATTAATTATTAGAGGAGTTTGCCACTTAAGGATTATCTTTAGACCTAATTACTGATCCCTCCTAGCCCTGTGCATGTGCATGTGCACACATGTTTTGTAACGAGCACATCAAGGTAATTAATGTGTGCACAAAATTTTTAAGCTACCCTTGTAGTCTTGTGGAAAGGGGTGGGACGATTTACCCAATACTACCCAATACCACCCAATACCACCCAATACCACCCCACAATACCACCTCAATATCAGTATTTGGTAGTATTTGATAAGTATTTGGTAGTATTGGGTTATTTTTTGCTTGTTTTGGGTGATATAGATAGGCAAATGAAACAGCCAGACATCGATATCACATTTGAAGTATATTTCCCTCGATATAACTCTCTATTTTTGAAAAAAATCAAATGATTTGTCCATGTGGTGATATAGAGGTGGTATTGGGTAGTATTGAGTAAATCATCCCGCCGCATGGAAGGTGATAAAGATCGGAATCGGATGGTTCTATATATATATATATGTGATTATTATTATTATTATTTTATTGTATCATCGTTATAGGTTAACGGGTAAAAAGATTCATGCTATGAACCTGGGCTCGTACAATTATCTGGGATTTTCTGAAAATGAAGGACCTTGTGCTGATAGTGCTATAGAAAAAGCAATGGAGGCAGGGGTAGGAGTCTGTTCTACAAGACAGGAATTGGGTAAGATAGCCATTAAAATCTAACAAAAGTACAACAATCTGATCCTTGGGTTAGAAATATCCATTTGAATTTTCATCAAAATTGGATAAAAATTGTGACCTCTAGAGTGTCCACAAGCTAAAAATGCTATCTGATTAAAACACAGATCCTATTTTGTTTCGTTTTTTATAGTTCAAAATTTCGTTTTACTTGTCTTTACTACACTAGGATCTGGAAGAGTTGTTATCATTGACGTGTTCTGAATGGTGAGAGGTATTAGCCAATGAAACAGTCTGTTACGGCGAGCTTTAGGCATGTTTTGCACGGAACTGTGGGTAATCCAATAGTAACATCAATGCTGATTGGTTAATCAAATGTCTGACATCATAGGTCAAAAGCCGCTCGTATGACCTCTGACGCGACCTATCGCTACAACCGGTCAGATCTTCAAGTAGTGTAGGCCATCAAAAGTATAAAAAAACTAAACGAAATGTAGATCTGTGTTTTAATCAGATTGCATGTATCTCAGCCATTCAGACTAATTTTAGCCATATTTTCACAGGTTATTCCGTCGTCCAGAAAGAATTAGATGACATCACGGCCAAGTTTTTAGGTGTCGAAGCAGCGATAACTTTTCCAATGGGTTTTGCTACAAACTCAATGAATCTTCCATGTTTAATGCAAAAAGTAAGTGAAATAAAATAGAATGAAACTAGGCTTTAACCTCCTACTTTTCTTATCATGAAGTCTGTCATTGAGTCAACTGGCGTGGTTTCGAATCCCCGGTTGTACGTGACGAGGAGTAGGGTTGCCTGTCCAACCTCGTGGGTTTTCTCCGGGTCCTCCGGTTTCCTCCCACTGCTAAAGACCCCTACGCGCAAGCGAATTATTGAAATAAAATTAAACCATATGTTAGTCCCGAAATGACCTAGTTTGTGTCGAGTGGACGTTAAATCCCATTTCTCCCTCTCCCTCTCCTACTTTTCTGCACCAACTGGGCTAATGAAGACAGTCATATACCACCATACAGTGTGCTATATATAGGAAAGGTTTGCTCGGAGTGCAATTGAATTCCAACTATCAAGGGGTCTTTTACATGTATGCCAACGGGTACACAGGACCTCGGTTTTTTATCCCATCCAAAGGACTAGGCTTATCTTGCCAGTCTCTCCATTCTGCATCTCTGACAAGGGGGAAACACACTGGAATACACAATATTAATAGATACACAGGATTAAATGATACCTAGGTTACAGTATAACTCACTGAGCCTCCACAGTCCCGCGAAAGAGCAGTCATATACTTCTTTATGAGATAAAATGGAAATTGATTTTAAGAATTACAATACAATGACAAATCATAATTTTGAGACACACGGAGACAACGCCAGCCTTGCGATTTCTCGTACTATGTGCAGAATTTCAACACTTTTATTAAAAGCTCATTAAGAAGTAAAGCCGTTAAGGTCAATGGTTTATATAATTTCAAGGATGGGGCCTCCTTCACAAAAACTTAAATTTAGATAATTTTTAGAAGTAGTCCTGATATTTACTACGAGCTGAAATGGATAAATCCTTAGAATATCAAATCCTTAAAATAACAAATCCTTAAAATAACAAATCCTTAAAATAACAAATCCTTAATAAACTGTTTATGATTTGTGTATTTCAGGGTTGTTTATTATTAAGTGATGAATTAAATCATGCATCGCTAGTTCTTGGTTCCAGATTAACAGGTTCTACTATCAGAGTTTTTAAACATAATAGTAAGTTTTCTTTTTATTAAGTTTTTATACATAATTGTAAGTTTAGTTTTTATTAAGTTTTTAAACATAATAGTAAGTTTACTTTTTATTAAGTTTTTAAACATAATAGTAAATTTTCCCCTACACTCAACAGCCATATGTTAGTCCCGAAAGACTGCCACCGTCAAGACCAGCAGTCGCATTATGTCTTTCTTGTAAATAAATTTTTGTTGATTTTGTGTGAAGCCTGAATTATTACAGCCCAAAACTGTACAGCAGGGTGGATGATTATGTCTTGCACCCGGATGCATTCACTTGAATTGTCTTATGGGATCTTTTTTGCACTTACTACTAGTTACAAGGACATTCATTAAACCTCTCTCTCTCTCTCTCTCTCTCTCTCTCTCTCCCTTCTCTCTCTTTCCCCCTCTCTCTTTCTCTCTCTCTCTCTCTCTCTCTCTTGTTAAAACTGGCTGACTTTATTTCTTAATTCCACTTCACTCGATTATCAGTCTGTAAATTGCAAATGTTACAAAATCATGATCAAGCATCCTATTAATGTTATCAGCAGGGAGTGCATTATTACAAGTGGCACCGAATAATTAATGTCTCTGTCGGAAAGATATTTCATCTGTTGAGTGATAACATATTAATATATGAAATTGGAAGTTTGATATCAAATCTTGCTTATCGTCATTTGCATTTTTTGGGACAATATCTAAACAATCCATGCTAAAATGTTCTTCGATTGATTATTTTTTACCATTAAATGAAATGAAATGAAATGAAATGGGGTTTAACATCCTACTGTTCTGGTCTGACTGGGCTAATGAAGACAGGCATATGCAATCAAGTGTGCTACGAGGGAAATTTTGCCAAGGTAGCGGCACTGCAGCTTACTCTTACATCAGATTCCAACGCTAATGTTTTTCATCCCATCCGAATGACTATATGATGTCCCTTGTCAGGCCTTCGGTCCTGCACCACTGACAAGGAGGAACCAGGATGGAAAGACCTGATGAACTTTCTCGGCCAACGCAGGGATCGAACATGAAACATCCAGGTTATGGATTGATATTCTGTTTTGAAATTGTGGGGGGGGTGGGGGGGTGGAATGGTTAATACCTGCGCGTTTGATCAGATCTGTCTTTGAGTCAAGTTTCTTAGTCAGCACCCCACTCCCCTGGGTAAGGCTTAAGGGTTAATCCATTCCTGACTGTAGGCATACATATATTATTATTCTCACTACAGATATGGATGATTTAGAGAAAAAAATAAAAACGGCCATCATAGAAGGTCAACCCAGAACACATCGGCCGTGGAAAAAAATATTAATCGTTGTTGAAGGAGTTTACAGGTAAGCTTTGCCTAGATTGTACGTGACATGGAGTTGCTTCCGAGTTCTCCGGTTTCCTTCCACTGCTGAAGATCCCTGCACACAAGTGAATTGATGAAATAAAATTAAAAATGCATGCAGTCACTAATAACAATCATTCGGAATACAGTCACTGTTTCATCAAGACTAGAGAGACCTAGTCAAAACGTCGCTCATTAAACATACATTAGCAAAGAGCTAAATTTGCCTATTGCAGGTTTTTCGTTATGCCTGAAATGTTTTATAATAATTATTTATTAGACATTCATTAACTTATCCAGACCATAATCAACTCTTGATGGCATCGCTAGCCTGCAATGTTTATTGGATTAGGTTCCAATTTGCTGTTCGACATCCATTCATAATTAAATCATGAAATGGATAATCAAGACTATGTTTTTTATCCTACCAACTTTAGTAATGATGATGGAGGCTAGGCCTTAAATTCATTCGCTAAAATCTCTGTTCAGAGTGGATCAATTTGACTGAAATTTTCAGCTAATTCCCTTTACAGTATCTAGTTTTTAACTATTATAGTGAGAACAGCCAGCTCTTTATCTAATCTCCCATAATGTATCTTTAATAAACAGTATTTGTATTCCATAAAATTGCGACACCCGTGTATTTCAAGTTAAATTGAAACATCAATCATGCAATAATCTTTTTTTTTTACCAGTATGGAAGGATCCATTATAAAATTACCAGAAATCATTCGACTAAAGAAGAAATATAAAGCTTACGTATATTTAGATGAAGCTCACAGTATCGGAGCTCTTGGTCCACATGGTCGAGGTGTTACAGATTATTTTGGTATCGATCCTAATGAAGTTGATATTATGATGGGAACGTTTACAAAAAGTTTTGGAGCTGCTGGGGGATATATTGGTGGTTCAAAGGTGAGAATAATAAAACAAATATCTGGCTCAGAGTTCACAAAGCATTCTCAGACTTAAGTTACGAATTTACTCAAAATTGTTGGCCTTATTTTAACTAAAATATAGCCCTTTATAATAATTTTATTGTTTGAATGTATCCGATACATCAATAAGAAACTATGTGCAAAGTTTTGTATTTCTGCATCAAAGATATTTGTCATAAACAGTGATTGAAAGTTGAGCAAATTCTCAACTTAAGTCTGAGAATGCTTTGTGAACTCGGGGCCAGAACATTCAATCAAGTCTCCCTATTGTTCAGGTATCAAGGGAGATAATTAGGCTTTACCTGCATCCTTACATTATATTTTAAATGTAATAAATTTTATTTTTCAGAAAATGATAAATTATTTAAAATCTTATTCACACAGTTCTGTTTATTCGAGCGTTATGTCTCCACCAGTAGCACAACAAGTTATTACAACCATGAAGATAATCATGGGTAAAAACGGAAATACTGACGGTAAGTCTGGACTATTTTGTTAATTGATACATTATGGGCGCTGGGTGGCCAAATGCTTAGTGCGTGTGCGTTGACTGAAATTTTCAGCAAATTCCCTTTACATTATCTAGTTTTTAACTATTATAGTGAGAACAGTCAACTATTTATCTAATCTTCCACAATGTATCTTTAATTATTTAAAATTAAAGTATTTTATATTCTGTCATTATCAATAAGTCATATCCTCTGTTTTTAAATTTATTATACTAAAATCTGACTTAAGTTTCTCTACTTTTATTTTTTTGTAGGATTAAGACGTATTCGGCAGTTAGCGTGGAACACACGATATTTCCGACGACGGTTACAAGAGTTAGGTTTTATTGTTTACGGCAATAAAGATTCACCAGTTGTGCCAATTTTAATATATTATCCTGCTAAAGTTGTGTAAGTAGTATTTTTATTTTTTTTTTTTTTTTTTTTTTTTTTTATAAACAATATTTTTATTCAGGATGTCTGAACGGTATTGGGGAACAGACATAGCCTATGTAAAACCCCTCTCCCTAGATAATATACATACATAGTATTAAAATAAAGGAACAAAATGGGTGTATATACACAGTTAAAATAAGTAAGTAGTATTTACTAGATGTATAAGTATATGAGATGGGGTGGGGGGCTAAATCTATTTGTTAAGGCCAGCTCAATTCTCGTCAAGGTCGCCGAGATGTAAATAAGGTTAGAGCATGTGATTGTTGGCGAGATTGTAGGTTAGGGTTAGGGTAAGCATTAGAGCTAGGTCCAGGGATAGGGTAAGGGTTGGAATTAGCGCTAGCCCTGTTTACTAAACTTGAGGTTGGCCTTATCAAAAAGATCTAACCATAAAAGTGGGGGGATGGCTAGTGGTCTAACACGTGCATGTGAAATCACAAAGTCGGTCATTTGAGTCAAGAGGCATGGTTTCATTTCTCTGCTTGAACGTGACAACCCTTTTGTAACTTGGATCTCCTAAAACTGCTGCTAAGTCGAGAGCCTCAAACCACTCAACTCATGCAAATAGCTTTTGACTATTTAAGGAAATGAAATGAAATGGGGTTTAACGTCCTACTGTTCTACTCCTATACTGGGCCTACGAAGACGGGCATACAGTGTGGTATAAGGGGAATTTTGCCGGGGCAGCGGCACTCTGGCCTACTTTTATATCAAATTCCAACTGCCAATGTATACATAGGACTTCGGTTTTCCGTCCCATCCGAAATACTAGACAGCTGTCCTGCACCACTGACAAGGGGAAACCAAATTGGACTATTTATACCAGTTGAGTGACTCAGGTTTTTTGAGGTCCAATGTGTAAATTTAAAACGATATATTAATGTTTGCACGATCTTTCATCCAGATTGTCACTTCGCCCATTCTATTTTTTTTCTGAATTCGATTAAATATATTTTGTTATCTTTTTTTCAGAGCGTTTGGTCGTAAATGTTTAGCAGACGGTCTAGGAATTGTATTAGTCGGGTTTCCAGCCACACCCATCATTGAATCTCGAGCCAGACTTTGTTTATCCGCTGCTCATACAAAAGATATGTTAGACAAAGTAGGTCTTTAATGTTTTCTGTCTTTATTTGGGGGGTTGGATGGCCAAATGGTTAACACTTGCGCGCTGTATCAAAAGGTCTGTCATTGAGTCAACTGGCATGGTTTTAATTCCCCAGTCGTATGTGACAAGGAGTAGGGTCGTCTGTCAAACCTCATGGGTTTTCTCTGGGTCGTCCAGTTTCCTCCCACAGCAAAAGACTCTTATGCGCAGGTGAATTATTGAAATAAAATTTGAAACATATATTAGTCCCAAATTACCTAGTTTGTGCCGAGTGGGTGTTTAACCCCATCTCTCTCTTTCTCTCTCTCCCTCTCTCTCTCTCACTCTCTCCCTCTCTCTCTCTCTCTCCCTCTCTCCCTCTCACTCTCTCTCTCACACTCTCTCGCTCTCTCTCCCTCTCTCTCACTCTCTCCCTCTCTCACTCTCTCTCTCTCTCTCTCATGTAGCTCCAAGATAAAAAATAAAAAAATAATCAACATCTATGGTTATTACATCAACACAAATTCTTCAACTAAAATTACACACATAACCATAGAAATATGCAAATGAAATGAAATGGGGTTTAACGTCCTACTGTTCTGCTCTTATACTGAGCTAATGAAGACGGGCATAAGCCATACAGTGTGCTATGAGGGAAATTTTGCCCGGGCAGTGGCGGTACGTCCTACTCTTATATCGAATTCCAACTGCCAAGGGATCTTTTATGTGCACACCAATATGTACACGGGACCTCGGTTTTTCATCCCATCCGAACGACCAGACAGCTGTCCTTGTCAGGCCAGCCGTCCTGCATCACTGACAAGGGGAAATCACGCCGAAAAATCTGGATGATCTTTCTCGGCCAATGCAGGGATCAAACACCCGCCTTCCAGGCTAGCGAGCCAGCTTCTTACCCACTTAGCCAAGTGATCCCCGCATAGAAATATAAAATTATCGTAAACTTGCATCAAAATGGCCGAACAATTATTTTGACAAGACATTAAAACGCCATTTTATTATTTCAGGCTCTTGAAACGTTAGATAAATTTGGAACAGAATTAAAACTCAAGTATTCAAGGAAAAGTAGAAAATCAGAATTTAGAGAGGATGATTCAAACTTACTGCTGCATTGAGGTGAGAATTTGCTACCTGGTTTATAAATGCAATATGTTTGGAGGAGGGGGGTGGGCGGTGGGGGGTTAAAACGTGCGCATTGAATCATAAGGTCTGTCATCCAGTCAACTGACATGGTTTCAATAAACTCTTCTACGTGACAAGAACTAGGGTCACCTGTCCAACCTCGTGGGTTTTCTCCCACTTCTCGAAACCCCTACCCACAATCCAATTATTGCAATCAGAATGAAAATGAAATGAAATGGGGTTTAGCGTCCTACTGTTCAGCTCCGATTGGGCTAATGAAGATGGGCAAACACCATATAGTGTTCTATGAGGGAAACCACGTTGGAAAATCCCAATGAACTTTTCTCAGCAAATATTGCAATCAATTTGAACCTTGGAAAATTGCAGATCGTTTGACAGATTGGATTATTAATATGACGTCAAAATTCCAAAATGACAGCTATTACGTCATACACAGTGATCTGGTGTGGGGGTGGGGAGGGGCGGTATGAGCGTGCCTGACAAGCACCTGTCAATGTTTTTCTGATATAACCCCAGTGTACCCGGCTGGAGCAGCTTATTATCAGCACTTTACAAATTTATTATTATTATTATAATTATTATTATTATTATTATTACAACCCTGACTCTATTCTCTACTTCTCTCCCTTTTGTTTCAGCAGAAGACAAATGAATCAATTATTACCTGCTAAAAGAAAGCTCACACAAAAAGCGAAAAAAAAAAAAAACTGTCGCTCAATTTAAAACATCAGTTTATAAGGATATTTTTATTTTTTTAATGTTATTTGTTATTTTAAGATTAATGCATAATAAAAAAAAGGGACAACTATTTGTTATGATAATTTCAAAATCTGTTATATTTTTTAAGAGTTTATTTGTACTATTATTAATTAAGATAATTAATTTATACTGTTCTTTTTGATAATATAAAGAAGGATAATTATTAATTAAGAATAGCTTTAGGAAAAATAATTTGTACTGTTCTTTGATAATATTAAGAAGGATAAATATTATTTAAGAATATCTTTAGAAAAAATAATTTATACTAATTTGATAATATTAAGAACTATAGTTATTATTTAAGTATACTTTTAGAAAAAATAATTTATACTATTTTTTGATATGATTAAGACGTTTAAAATTCCATATAGGTTTAATTAAAACGTGATAAAATTATATGGAATACAAAGTCACTTAGATGTTTATTTCTGGCGACATTTTGATGGACGAGAGTTCTCTCCTCTTGATGACGAGAGTTCCCTCCTCTTTACCAAGTAAAGAAATAGCTACTTACTAACTATATATGCCGTAATATATGTTAAGAGTTTTTCTGCTTGTTTTAAATTGATTTATTATTTTCCTTCGAACCACAAAAAAACAAAATACCATGACAGTTTTGTGTTCATCAAGAGCAATTCTCCCGTCAAAAGCCAAAACCTAGTAACTCACTTTTTTATCAAAATTGAGTTAGGACCAAATTTGTAGTTACTAGGGTATGTGTCTCCTGTTGTTGTACTAGATATTCCAATCTTTTGATTTTGTAAGCAATTACACCCATGGCACAACCTAGTAACTTCCTTCATTTGCCTAGTATACATACCACAGCAAAACCTTGTAACTCAGTAGTCAAATCAATGGATGAGCTGGCGTTTAATATTCATTCGTTACGTTTTCCTTTGTTTTCTCAAAATAAGAAAAAAGTGAGTTTCTAGGTTTTGTCTTTTGACGGGAGAATTATAGTATAGATTAAAATAATTTGAATGTAGGCATGTTTATTTAACTTGCTATTTGTTTATGCATATATACAAGGCCATACACGAAAAATATTCTGCTTCTCACACAACTCTTCCTAAACATCTGGTCCTTGAGGGAGGTTTTAATTTGTGTGTTTTTATTTTGTCAGAGCATCACTACAGGGCTAAATTAAAGGGGAAGACCAACGATTTTTCATAAGTCTTAAACCATGTGATGTAAACAATTAGCCATGTGGCGTGAATTGAGGCACAGCGTACAGTTTAGTATGAGTAAATTTACGCGACGGCTTTGTGTACTAAATGTTAAAAAAACATAAATTTGTGTTTATAATATCCTAATAAACAACCCATTTGATCAGATTTTTGGCCAATACAGCAGTAAACTAGTGCCAAATTTGTATGCTTACTATAGAGCCCAGTGAGCGTGTTGAACCAACTACATCACTTCTGGTTTAATAAAAATTAATTTCTCACTTACAAAAACTTTTTTGCTCGTGTTACAGAGGGGATTATATATCATAATATATTTAAGGTTATGGAAACCTTGTTGAAAATCGTTGGTATTCCCCTTTAATTCACACATCGCATTTCAAGGCACTACATTTATATCATCATGTTGTTTATAGGAATGTGTCATTATCCAGTATCATTTATCAATAATGAGAATAAAAAACGGCTCAATCGGCCCTGAGTGATGCAGGAGTATCGTAGAACCAGAATATCTTTTTATGACCTAACTAAGAAACCTACAGAACAAAGTTTGTGATGTTGTCATAGTGATAGATTTAAATGACTTTAATAAGTATTTTTTATAAGAATAATTTAATAGAACATTTTTCATTTTATTCTCTATGAAGAAATTTACAAACTTTATGATAATTTATTATTTTTTTATCCTATATAAAATTCAGTTGAAATATTTTAAATGTGCGAGAGTTATTCCCCCTTTAAACCACAGGATATATATACATTGTGCTAAAAACTACAGAAATATTTGCTTGGAGTCAGACAATTATTGTTAAAGCAAATAATCAGAACGAGAATACGTGGCGCAATTAATAAGGCGTTGGCGGGCTAAAATAGGGAAAGGTTTTACGTAGGCTAAGCTTGTTCCCCAGTCACTATTCAGATTCCTGAATAAAAATATTGTTTTTCAAAAAACTCGTGGGTTTTCTCCCAGGTCCTCCGGTTTCCTCCCACTGCTAAAGACCCCTAAGCACAAGCGAATTATTTGTGTCGAGTGGATATTGAACCATTTCTCTCCCCTTCTCTCAATTGAAACAAGGAGGAATAACTCTCGAAATTTTTGCACTTACATCCAAAACCACGGGCCTTCATTTAGGTATTGTTTATATAAAGATTTCATATTATTAAAACTATTTTTCCTCGTGTGTTTAGATAATTTAAGAAATTTTAAATATCACTGAGAAATAGATTTGTGTTTGTAACGTTCTGTCAATATTTCATATCATATGTTCAATGTATTTAAATATATTAAGTTTGTTCAGTCCGATAGGCTTATGTTTATTATTATTTATTCAAACGTTGTTTTTTTGGGGGGGGAATCTTTTTTTTAGTTTTTACAAGATTGCCTAGAATATAAAATTAACATTTAATGAAAAAAAAAAAAAAGCTTTAGATTATCTTCCCCCTATGGTCAAATGGAATTTCTACATAGTATATGTGACGGTACGAAAGGTTCTGAATTGCCGATTAGGGTATCATATACCAAATTTCCCAGTGTCAAATGAAAAGCCTCAAAAATTATTTTTAATAAATTAATTTTTTTTATAAATGTTCCTGACTTATGCGTACGTATAAACCCCATAGGTTATGCAGGGTATTATTTGGTCTTTTGCTCGAATTGCCAGTATTAATGTGCTGTACTGGACATTATCGTGTCGTATAGCATATCCTGGAATATCAACTGTGTATACAGACCACCCTAATATTAAGACCACCTTGCTATTAAGGCCCTAAAACTACCCAACCATTAAGACCACCTACTATTAAAACCACTCTGTCATTAAGACCACTCTGTCATTAAGACCACCCTACTATTAAGACCAAACCACTAATAGGACCGATTTATAAAAGTCCCACAACTGGTTGTAATAGCAGATTCTATGGTATAATTTCACGAAACCATATCATACAAAGTCACAGCTGTCTCAGTAATTAAATGAAATTTGACTATAAGGGGTGATAGAAAATAAACATTCCTGAGTTTCAGTCATTAGTTTACAAATTTCTTCAATTTACATTCCCAAGGTTTAAAATTTTGTTAATATTTTTAGTTAGTCGATGACTTTTAAGTCCTGTCGAACAAACAGTTCGATTGGGTCCCCGACAAGATGAGAAATACCTGAGATTTTACCCTCGGTTGAACCAGACGTTAATCCCCATGAACAAACGCTCTAGATGATGATTGGCCATTAGATCTTGAATATTCAAATAGAGTTATTATGTGAAATATTTCTGAGCTACAGAAAATTGGAGCATGTGAATAGTATCGCACGTATCACAATGCATATAGTGCTGATTCCCCACCCTCCCTACCTAGACTCATTTTTAAATATTCAGATTATCGTTGTTTTTATCATTTCTGTTTGTGTACATGTTAACGTTGCAAATATCAGATAACTAAATTATTGTAGATCAAATTGCTGAATTATTTTTGATCAAATTACTCAATTTGTTGCAAATATCAAATTACTCAATTTGTTGCAAATGATCAAATTACTAAATTATTGTTACAGATAGGCTATCAAATTATTGTTGCAAATATCAAATTACTAAATTACTGTTACAAATATCAAATTACTAAATTATTGTTGATCAAATTGCTGAATTATTGTTACAAATATCAAATTATTTACATTTTATTTTTCGTGGTATCTACTTATAATATTTTGATCTATGTCAGCGATTCTGTCGCATAAATATAGCGTGAATCAGATTTAAAATTACAAATATTTTTTTTAGAAATATTGATGCTACTGAAAATATAACTATTAATAATCTCAATTATTTCTTAATAATAAGCAGATGCAGTTAATAAAACAATTCACTGATCCAACCAGTCAATTTTAAAATATGATAAAATAATGAAAAATAATCCTAGCATTCTTATTAGAATACCTGTAGCCAAGATCATCATAAATAGACCTAAGTTTTTAGATAAAGGTTAGAAATTATCATTGTAACCCGAGTATCATTTAAAGTTACAATTTCATATTTTCTAAGAAAGTCAAAACATAATTATTTCTATGTCTTTTGCTTAATAGGTTGTCAACTCACTATTATACGATCATAGGTTATCCTTCTCACACTGAAAAATCTTCACACTGGAAATAATAACACAATTACCTCCCAATTACCTCCCTTGTTTTCTATTCTCCACCATGGAGTAGCTAACTTCAAACGTTTGAATTGTCGATGAAAATGATATTTTTGCCAATTTCTCAACTGGCAATAGTGAATTATAGGATTAATAGGATTATTCTTTAACACGGTAGGACTGTTTATAGATACCATCTATTTTAAGGCTTTCTTTTAATAAATTTTAAAAATATAACTTAAAATTATGAAATTGCAACTTTAATCTTGTGTATTCAGCACTAATTTCTTTTACATTCATTCACTATCAAATCTTTATTTAAAAATCATTTAAAATCACCAAAAATCATCTAATTTTCTACCTGTGTCCAATTTAAAGCTGACCATTCAATTTTGATAATGAGTGTCCAATTTAAAAGCATTTAATTTCTCAATCATTTACAAAATAAACCCAATTGATTATTGATGTATAATGATTAATTTTTGGACAGTGGTCAGGAAATTGAATACTTGTAAATTTGACACTTATTATCAAAATTAATCAGTCAGCTTTAAACTGGACACAGGTAGAAATTATATGATTTTTGGTGATTTTAAATGATTTTTACAAATTTTTAAAGAAAGGTTTGATATTAAATGTAAAAGAAATTAATGCTAGATACACAAGATTAAATGATATACTGGTTACAGTGATATTTGTCAGTTTTATTGCATTTTAGATGTTTTATGTGGAGAACATGTGTCTATATTATTATCTTTGTTTAGAGAATTGATAAATCTATATTGCGATATAACTCATCTTGTGTACAGCAGTCAATAGTTTAAAAGCAAAATTGGTTTAGAAATAA